AAACATCCTATAATGCAATTAATCATCTTCGTATCACCCATACCTAGCATTGATCCTGGTACACAGCAGGTGCTAAATACATGTTTGTTGATTGAATATTGTGTTTCTTTATGAAACCAGAAAATTTATAAATATTCCCTTAATTATCCTCACTCTGCCTTGATTGGTTCCTTTTTCCTATTGTTTATAGTATCTTCCCTTGTCCTCTAATGTGTCATATTTCTTGAAAGGTTGATCTTCCCAACTAGAGTATAAGTTGCTTTGTGGCAAGAACCTTTTCTTAAAGCCTTATATATGCTTAAAAAATTGTGTAGAAATTAATAAGACAACCTATGAGGTTGAGGAAGGTATTACACTTACTTGAAGGGTATCTTGTAGTGGGGATGTGGGTATCAAAAAAGCAGGCTAATTCCTGCCTCTTTGTATCCTTAGCCTACTTATAAGAAGCGAAGGTTGGATGAGTGTGAAGAGGCCTTCCAAGGTAAGAGCCACCCCCACCCCACCTCCTCTTACCCCATCTCCTGACCTGTAGCCCTGAGAAGCAGGATGGATACGGTGTTCTCCTGGCTGGGAAGCAAATTCTGATCTTATCTGCCAGAGTCAGCATTCCCAAGTCCTCCAAATATGGTCATCATTTAGTGGTCTAAACCAAGTTTTCCAATAAACAGAGGGTTTGACTTAGCATGGACTACCAAGGGAGAGAGATTGGAGGTAGCCTCTACACACTTTAAATTTGTCACAGAAGTCCCAGTTCTGTGTTATTTTTTTCTTCTTCAGTAACAGTTGTTACTGAAATGGTGCAGTGGCTCACGCCTATAATCCAGTGCTTTGGGAGTCCAAGGCAGGAGAATCACTTTAGGCCAGGAGTTTGAGACCAGCCTGGGCAACATAGCGAGACCCTGTCTCTACAAAAGATAAGAAAAATTAGCTCTAAGGCTAGCACCCGCATATCTTCTGTCTCCTCTCCCCTCCCTTCTTCCCTCCCTCCCTGTGTCTGAAGCTGTGGTGGCACACACTTGTAGTCCCAGCTACTCAGGAGGGTGAGGCAGGGAGGATCGCTTGAGCCCAGGAGTTCAAAGCTGCAGTGAGTTCTAATCACGCCACTGCACTCCAGCCTGGGTGACAGAGCAAGACCTTGTCTCTAAAAAGTGGAAAAAAAAAACCAATTGTTGATACATTAGGTCTATAAGGCATATATTTACTTTAGTGTTCTTATTCTTAAGAGTTTTGGCATACCTTAGATGTTTATCTGTTGTTCTGTCGTTCCATACATTCTCCTTTTTCATCTTGATAGTGGTGTCATGGTAGGATTGTGACCAAAAAAAAAGGCCGAGTTCATAGTGTTTTATACTACGAAGAGAGAAAGAAGAGAAAAAGGTAGGGAATGATACAGCCTTTCCTCTACCCTAATCATTCGATCTTCACATTTCTATCAGGAACCAAGGTGTTTGTGATGCCCAACGGGATGCTAAAAAGCAACCAGCAGCTGGTGGACATTATTGAGAAAGTGAAACCTGAGATCCGGCTGCTGATTGAGAAATGTAACACGGTGAGGCGGAGACCAGTGTAGCCCCACTTGAACTATGAAAAATGATGAACAAGGGGCTGGAGGTGTGGGGGCTGGCAGACTAGGTGTCTTGACTCCTGAGTTCCTGGCATCTGGCCCCAGCAGCGTGAATTGTGTACTTCATGGTTTCAGCAGAAAAGGTCACAGTCCTGATATATGTGTTTCGGTTTGCTCACCCTCCAGGTCAAAATGTGGGTACAGCTCCTGATTCCCAGGATAGAAGATGGAAACAACTTTGGGGTGTCCATTCAGGTAACGTGCTTGCATTACAAACTGGCATCTCCCATGCATATCTCCCCTGCTTTGTTTTTCCTTTCACTTTGGGACTGCTGTGGGGTGACATGGAAGTGGCTTTTGACTAGCCTGCTTTTTCCTCCCCAACCCCAGGAGGAGACAGTTGCAGAACTAAGAACTGTTGAGAGTGAAGCTGCATCTTATCTGGACCAGATTTCTAGGTAGGGCTGCTTGGGCTTGGCCCAGGCATTGGAGGTTGGTGAGATGGTGGGCACTGTCAGGGGTCTCCTGCAGCTTCCTCCTCTTCTCTCTTCTTCCAGATATTATATTACAAGAGCCAAATTGGTTTCTAAAATAGCTAAATATCCCCATGTGGTAAGTAAGGGTTTTGTGGCCTGAGGGTGGAGGTGGC